ATTTTTCTTGACTAAATGTATGAATGTATTTAAATGTTTGAAATGTTGTTCTATACTTTCAGAAAATATAAGAACGTCATCGATGTAAATAATAATGAAATTTGAAAAATGATTAAAAATACCATTTATCATTTTTTGAAATTCAGAAAGAGCATTTTTGAGATCGAATAGCATAACATTCATTCATATTGACCAAAAGGAATATCAAAAGCAGTTTTGTATCTATCTTCTTTTCTAATTTGAATTTGCCAAAAACCTAACTTCGTATCAAATTTAGAGAAAATAACAGTTTTGAATAATCTATTTAGAAAATCTTTCTTTTGAGGCAATGGATATCTAATATATTGAAGAGCTTTATTGAAAGGTTTGTAATTGATAACCAAACGAGGAACACCTCTTTTAATTTCAGCTGAATTATTGACATAGAATGCAAAGCAACTCTAAGTAGATTTGCTCGAACGAATAAGATCCTTATCAAGTAAATCTTTGATTTCCTTAATACAGCAATCTAAGAGTTCTTTGTTTATTTGAATAGTACTAGATTTGGTAGGAATATTTGATTCATGAAAATCAAAATTGTAAGGAAGAGAAACAACATGTTTATTCCTATCTCTAAAAGCATTTGGAATGGTAGAACAAATTTCTTTCTCAATATGTTTTTGAAAATGTTTAAAAAAAAAAATTGAATTGAAGGATTTTGTAATTGTTATTCAATTATTTTAAATTTAATTTTTTCTTTAAGAAATTTAATATTATTCTTTTTGAGATTTATATTATTAATAATTTTTTAAATGAATGCTTCTTTTGAAAAATTAACATCTTTATAAGAAGGATTTGTAAATTTAAAACAAAGTTCTTGACAAAAAATATTTGTAGTCAAGCTTTTTGAATTAGCTTGAAATGGATAGATTTGAATAATAAAGGGAGTACCAAGAATTACTTCTTGCGCTAAGTCTTTTACAAGATAAAAAATATTTTTGAAGCAAATATTTGAATTATAAACATGGACTTTTGAAAGCTTATATTGAATATTGAGTTTTTTACCACCGACTCTATAAAGACGTTCGGTAGTTTTTTAAAATATTTTGTAGGGATAAGTCCTTCCCTAATACAATTTTAATCAGTTCCTAATTAATAAAGACTCTAGAAGTAAATTTAAATTCTTTATTGACCACGATAGTCATATTGCATTACCATTTTTGAAGTTAAGTACGATTAATAACATTAATCATTTCTTCTTCAGATTGAGGATTTGAAGAAATAAATTCTTCATTAGAGGAACTAGAAGACGAAGAAACTTTTGACTTTTGTTTTAAATCTTGAATTTTTAGAAGAGCAACTTCTATTCGAACGTCGTTCATTTGACGTTTAAGAATAGAAATTTGGGATTTCAATCAATTGATTTATGATTTTAAATCAGTACCGGAAGATTTTGAAGTTTCAAAACGATTTAAAACATTTTACATATTGTAAGACTCAAAGGTAAGTTTTGAATTTGCAGGTAAAAGAGTATTAAACTTATTTTTGAGCTATGGATCTTCAATTTAATCTAAAATCTCTTTAATAAATTCTTCTTGTTTGATGAGAACATTTATAGTTTTACAATCACAAAGTTCTTGACTTTGATTGGAAGAAAAAGAGTAGATTGAACTGGATTCAACATCGGAATCTTTTTTATGTTGATAAATATGTTCTAAATCAAAAATATTTTCGTCATTAGAAGTGGAATCAGAATTAATAAGATTGAGAAGTTCAAGTTTAATATATTCATCAATTTGAAAACTATTAATCTTGCTTTTGAGGGGCCACTTATTTGAATGATGCATTGGTTTTTTTACATTTCCAACAAGTAATATTATTCTTTTTTGAAAATTTTCATTTTTGAAAAATTACATTTTTGAATCTTTTTAGAATAATTTTTTGAATAAGAAGGGTTTTAAAAATTCATTGAATAAAGTTTTCTTTTTGGAAAAGTTTTTTTCTTTTTGATTTTGAAGGAGGGATTATTTTCTCAAGTCTATATTACTCACAAAAAGATCCTAGTTCTTTTCAACTGTCTAATCTTTCTGATTGTAATTTAGATTCGAGTTTAATTTCATTACAGAGAACTAATCCTTCTCAGTTAATGAAACTAATTAATTCTCCATATGTAAGAATATCATATGGAATATTATTCTCATATTCCCATTTTATTGAATTTTGAACTTTTTCTGAAAATAATTTTGGAAGTCCAGATAAAAATATTTCTTTTCAATAAGCTTGATTACAATTTTTTTGCAAAAATACACGTGTTATAAATATATCTTTGTACCAGCGAAATTCCTATAAACTTGAACAATTTAAAGTCATTAAAATATTTGAAATTTTTTCTAAAACATTTGTTGGAGAACCAGCAAAATGTTTAATAATACTAAAAACTAAAGTATTAAAACTATCAAAATGTTTAATACTACTAAAAATTAAAGTATTAAAACTATCATTAGAACCATTAGGTTTTATAGCTTGCCCAATTTGAATTTTTTTCTTGATAAGTAAAATAATTGAACCACCAATTATTAATTTATCCAGCAAAACCATGAATAATATTATTTGTTGTATCAATAGCACAATGACATTCTTAAATATAGGCATTAAAGTATGCATTAAGAGTTTGAAAGTTTTGATATTCAGTTAAACCGTCAATATTCCAAATAGTTATACCTTTGCCAAAAAATGTTGTGGGGATTTTGAACTTTTCTTCAAAAAGTAAATCGGGAGGAATAATTTTTGGATAGTAAGGAGGAATATTTGAAAATTGAACATTTTTGCTTTGAAGTTTATTAACCTGAGGAACTTCATTATCAATAAATTGGTATTCAAGATCATCAATAATATTGATATTATTTGATGTAGAGATGGTGATAGTTTCGATAACTGAGTTGCTAATTCTTTTAGAACATTGACCTCAATTTTAAGAGGATTTTTGGAATAGCCTCATGCCTGTTTATTAAAAATGGCTCCATTGACTTAATTGATTTTGAAGAAGATGGTGTCTTAATTTCATAATTTAATTCAATTCTATTGAGTTGAGAACACATAAATTGAAGTACTACATTAGTGTAGTTATTTTGACATTGAATATTTTTTATATCTTTAGCAACAACTTGAGATTCATCGGGCCATTCTTCAGATATCTTCTTAAGAGGAGGCGCAAAAATTTCAGTATTTTCATGTGGAACTACAATTTCTTACAAAGGAGGATAAGATAATTGAATAAAATCACCGGAAGATGTTTTCCAAATCTTTTTTGGAGTATTTATATTTTGAATGATTTTTCGTTCTTTGAAGTAAGTTTTTTATTGTGTGTGCGTCTCTCTCTCTCTCTCTCTCTGCATATATGTGTTTATATATATTTCATTTTAGATTGACCATAGTGAATACTGAATATAAAGTTTTAAAAAAATATATTTTACAAAATTATATATTTTTATAAAAGTAAAAAATTAATTTTTAAATATTGCCAACGACAATGACAATATAATTAATATCGTAATAATTGATGTATGTTTTAACAATCCTGCTACAGGTACATTATGGATTACACCTTGACTTACACTCTTTCATGCGGTGTTTTAATAACTATATATATTTGTTATACAAATGCAATGATAAATGATTTATATTCATGGAGCTAATTATTTCTTCATCTAGCAAAATATAAACGACCAAAACTAAGTTTAAAATCATAATAATATAAAGGGGGTGTTTGAGGGGCATTTTTATGTAAAAATGCATTTTAGAATAGTAACTTGATAGGAAGTGTGTGGTTGAAAAAATAAGGAAATTTTTTTGATTTACGTGTAATATTATTTTAATAAAGAATGTGTGGTTGAAAAGAAGAGAGGGAAAAATGCATTTTGAAAAAAATAGATACAAAACAGAATGAAAATATGAAAGAAGTTGTTTTTCAAGATCACATAAGTTCAAGCTCTGTTTGACATCCATTATTTGAAAAATTAAAGAGTTTTGAATAGTATTTTTGAAGAATGTGTGATTAAAAAATAAAAAAAAATTATATTGATTTGTGCGTAGAATATTTTATTATGCGAATATGTGGTAAAAAAGATACTATAACAATAATTTAAATTTTCAAAGGTTGTCAAACGGAGGCTCAATTTTAACTAATAAATGCATTATTTAATTTAAAACTAAACTTTTAAGCTTAGCTTCTATTAATTATTACTCAAATAAATTGCATAAACCCTTTGTCATAAATCCCATAAAAATGGTAAGAAGGACCTGTTTGAGTCACATTATTTTTAAAAAAATACATTCGTCAATAGTAATTTAACATTATTTTTACCATTTTTTTAATAAAATAATATTACACGCAAATATAAAACTTTTCCTTATTTTTTAATCACACATTTTCCATTAATTTGACATGAATAATGCATTTTTCTTCCTAAAATTTGGCTCAAACATGAAATGCAAATAATGGAGCTTTATGAAAAAGAGCAAGAGTTGCTTGCTCGAGCTTCAAATCCCCTGAACGAGCAACAGAATTGTTTACTCAAGCTTCAAATCCCCTAAATAGTTAGTAGGTATAAAAAGTAAAGTGACAAACAACTACTAAACGACTATATTAAGCCTACACCAATCCTTTCCTTTCCAAGCTTGATCATGCCCTTGGACTCGTCTACGCCCTATTCGGTCGGAACCCTCTTTGAGATTCGCTCCTCAACCTAGAACCAATTAATTGAAAATCCTACTAACAACAGTCAACAAAATAAATTCAAGGCACATCTTGACATGGAAGCCCCTACCGCGCTCTTAAAATAAATAAAACATGGACAACACGAAAACTCACCAAGATCTTATTCTCATTATTGCAACCCACATATTTAAACCAAAATTCGTATATAACTACTCCAAAAATACATACAGGAAACACCAAGAATACCAAAACACTATCTATAATATGCATCAGCCATCAAAATATACACATTATTTCCCAATGATGATTAATGATTAGTAGACAACATTCAGCAAAATCTGAAAAACATAGCAAGAATACAGTGGATCAACAAACAAAATCCACTGCAGAATCAGTGAAATATCTATAAATGGAATACATTTATCTCGCTTATTGTAAAAAGGAAAATGAGCTTCACTATCAACTTTACAGAAAACCCAAGTATATGCTCAAAAGTTTCATCACAAGCCACTACTATAAAAAATTCCCGTAACAAGGAATAACAGAAAACAGGACCAAAAAAAAAAAAGAAAAGAAAAAAATGCTTGGAAGTTGGAAATATTATGTCATACTAAAATTGGAGCTCTCCCTCTGTCAATTAGTGCTACTAGCAAACGAGTCTCTCGTAGAATAAAATGTAGCCATGATCTGTATTACTAGAATACTCCTGCGCTGCACCAAAGAAAGTCTGAACAGCAGACTCCTCAATCATCTCCACATTCTCATCGTCAAAAAATAACCAATGGTTGTGACTTTTCACGAGGCTGACGTAGTGTCCATGGTTCGGACCACTCCCTACATGGACTACCACAGCAAACAGGGAATATTCAGTATCCGCATCCTCAACTGTATTGCTCAGCCTCAGCTCGAGAGGGAAGACGACACGGTAAGATAGCTTTTTATACCGGCCAAGTTGTTCGATGAACTTAAATCTCTTCAAATGAATGACCAGGATGTGAGGTGGCTTTTTAATCTTCATTCTCTTCTGGGCCTCCTGTAAACTGCGCATGGAACAACGCTTGGTACCAATTAGTTAAAACATATGGAGCATTTCAGTGAAACTTGAGTCAAATTTGCTTTTTATTTCCTAAAATGTTTAAATAACTTACCTTTTTCTTACACTTTTAAGCGGAAAAAATTAATTATTTTGAAAGTAACTCTTACACTATCATCAAAATAACTTATTCCAATATGAGTAATTAAACAATTATTGATTTTAAGACTTGATCACTTAAAAGTTTTTAAGTGTAGCCAAAATTCCTTTTTAAGTTTTTTCACAAAGAATCAAATTGAGCACTTTAGTTCCTACCTCGAACTAGAATGCCAAATGATTCTAGCTACCTATCCTAATACAACATCTAACAGCATCACCATTGAACCACCCTTGGTCCCAAGAAAATAAAAATAAATTAATCCTCCAAAAAGTAATAGAATAGACCTTCCAGAGAAGAATAGAATGGAAGAGAAACTTTCGAGAGTTTGTGTGTGTGTGTAGCAGGGGGAGGGGGAGGGGTTGTATTCTAACATTTATTTTTTACTTCTTAATTTAGAAAAGTTAATCTCAGAAGTTGAAGTTAAATTAAAGACATTAAATATATGGGCAGGTTTTCTGATCAGCAGAAGTCAGACATTACGAAAGCAATCCAAGAAATAGATAGGTTCAATCCTTGTCAAAGCTATTATCACGTCTAACCTCGGTATCATCAATGAAAAACAAGCTCAACCAATGAAAGATTATCTGATAGTCAGGTTAGAACATACACAAATTCATGATATCTATGTGAAATGAAAATGTTGTTTACCTGCAACACTTGTCACAGAAAAATTTGTCTTCTGCATTTAAAGTCTCAGTTGAACTAAAATTTTTTAGACAACTTGTAATAGAACTGTTCTGTTCAATATCAAGGCTCAAGTCCAGAAATGTTTCGTCTCTTGCTGTCACAGTCTCGCAACGTAAGCACCTCGTTTCATTTGTCAAAATACCCTGGAGAGTAACAGACATCAATGAATTCCTTAGTAGTCCAATGATGCTACGAAAATTTAATGCATCCAAGAAGACCTATCTAGTTGTTTGATAAAAAACAATAGAACTGAAAAATCAGCAGGCACATAAATACCAGCCACTGCTTTTGTGGCACCAGCTGGTAAATAACAGTGGTGCAACTTAACTTTTCATAAATGGAGCCAGCAATTACACCTAATTCACAGAACCTAGAAAATGAAGAGAAGCCACACAAATTTGTAGTTTCTTCCCCTTGTTATGCATTATAGCTCACAAGAAGCAAAAAAATGAACATGGAAACAAAATTCACCTGGAAATTTTTGTGCACCCAAGTGACTATAGGCTCCTTTTGAGGACCATTAGCAGACATATTATTTGGTCCATTAGAAATCTTTTCCGATGGAGATGAAGATTCTTGATCACTCTTAGAAGCGCGAGCCTCTTTCTCCAGTATGTCAACCAGTTCATTTAACAAATAGTTGAGAAATTCATGAGCATCCTAAAATAAGATATGAACAACATTAGCAGATCGAAGCTGTTTTTACATGACATTCCAAGAAAACAGGCATTAATTAATGCAATTCTAAAATCCAGGGGTAGAAAAGACATTCAGAGATTTATACAGTGCATAAAGGGTTGCAGTGTATTTTGACTTCACCCAACATATGATTTCATAAAAAATGCAGAGCAATAAAGTAAATAGGGTCAGACAACTGTTCAGGAGCATGAGCATAATAGAGCCTATTAGAAAATTTCAAAGATAAAGGCCACCAGAACAACGATCCCAAATATCTCAAGAGCATCAAATGTCTCCTCTTGCACTTCAAAAGAAGAAATGTGTAAGTGCAACTATTAAATTGAAGCACAGTAAAGTACCTCAGTTTATATATGAAAAACATTGCGAAGAAAGTTGATGCTTTCAGTCAACCAAGAAGCAAAATATATTTACGCATACACAATCGATGATAATCACGGGAAAAGTTGAGAAGTTCGAGAAATTATTAAAGCAATCAATAATAAATGAATTTTATATTTTAATGTAATACATATGTGTCCTAAGAAAATATGAATATCCATGGTGACACATTGCTTTAGGAAATGTACTACAGATGGCTGAACATAAATTGATGTGATTGGGAATTGGTCCTCAACAATCACAACATTTTCTGTTCTTTCCTGGCAAATATAATTTGAAGTTTTCTTGTACCTTTGAACCCCCATGCCTTGAATATTGAGACCTAACCCCTATCTTCCACCAGTCATCAATTCCCAATTGCTTCTAAAAAATCCCTCCGTCAACTTTTATAATCAGATCAAAATTCAACATTTAACAAGCAAAACATTAGCAAATTTGACCAAATTCACATCAAAGAATGAAGTCTACGGAAAAGCCTAAGACAAGAGCTAAATGCAGTGCAAGGACATTACAGGGGATAAAGACGAACACACTATTGCATAGTAACAGATTATTGCCATATCCGGGCAGTAGCTTTGCCATACAAGGATTTTGGAAGTGCAGCATAGCAATCTGTTGACTTCACCATTCACTAAATTCAATTAAATTTAGATTATCCAAAATACCCAATTCTTTAGCATTCAAGTCTTAATATGTGTTCGTCAAAGTATTCCTATATCTGACAACCAACTGGCAAGGGACTATGACATTAAATATCAAACTCAACGGATGTCAATATAATTTCTACCATGGCATAATATATCCATGACTTCCATTTTATGCATTACAAGCAAAATTCATCCATGTGCTTTTGTTTCGATATTTTCAGCAATAGGACAATTTGTAAGGTCCATATCTAGCATCCTCAACGAGGGTTACACATACCTGGTGCATAAAGCTACGAAAAATTTCATTTTGCTTCCTCAATCTCTGTACAAACCGCTTTGGAGCAATTACACCAGTTTTTCTCTTTTGCGAGCTTATCTACATGGAGAAACACATGTAAGCCCACAAGAAAAGAAAAGATATTTCTGGGAGTTTGTATGTGCAGAAGCAAGCGTTAAACTTCGTAGCCTTTTAATATAGATGAGTAAGAGCATTCCAGAAGTCATAAAACATAAATGTTATGATCCAACAAGTCACATATCATCACAGTTCTTATGCAAGTTTCAACCTACAGGCTACAATGAAATTAGCAACATTTAATTCGACTACCTTAATATTCCTCAACCCCGACATCCACATGACCCCATTCGCTTCATGCACCTCATCACTGCTAACAGAACATTGTACAAAGATCTCCAAATAGTGACTAAGATTCGTGTACAGTTACAAAGTTAAACACCAAGTCCTCCTCAAAAACATTCACTAGATACAGGTTCCATTAGACTATTAAAGAACGTGCTTTAAGAATCACAACATGGGTCTTACAATACATAATATTAGGCAACGTCAATTCTGACATCACAAAGTTTCCTTCACTATTTAATCTCCATCATATTTATTTTCTAATGATATTATGTGATGTTAATAATCCTAATTGTAACCTATTTCTTGAATGATTTTTGAAAATAATTTTAATGATGTTAGGGAAAATACAGTTCAAAATTGAATACAATTAGTGGTCTGTACAATCAATCGGGGGGCAAACGCCTACGAAAAGATCGCTTGGATTTAAGAAATGGTCGCTTGGATTTATCCAAGGTTTTTTGTGTTTTTTTTGTTTAGTTTAGTTTATTTCTTAATTCGAATTAGGAAAAGCAATGTCTCATTGCATAATATGGATTCCATACATTCATAATTTGGCTGTGAATGAGTCAAATTACTTATCCTTCGGTCTATTTAATACATATGCTCCCATTTTTAACAAGATTCCGGCTAGAAGCACACAAGTACTCTAATGCACTTATCCATGGGCATCTGATAACCGTGTATGTAGGGGTAAGCCCGTGGATATTGAGGTTCCATAAGCAGTATTTCCTAATATTGTATTTGAAGCAGTTGTTCAAATTCCTTATGATAAGCAACTGAAACAAGTTCTTCAAACTTATTTAAATGTTCCTGCTATTCTATATTTCCTAGAAAAAGGTGCTCAACCTACAGGAACGGTTTAGGACTTAGGAAAGGTACTTTTGGAACACCAGTAGGTATTAATTGAAAGAAAAAAAGAACTAAGTACTATATTTTACTTTGACGTGGAAACATAACAACATTGTCTGTACAATCTTAACAAACTTATTTGTTGTCCAAGTGTATGATATCCACAGGTCTTACAAAATGAAATGAATTCCTTCAACTGATCAATTTGCTAAACCAAGTTTTTCAAGATGGAATTCAGCAACAATATAAAAATATTTTTCCCAGACTGTTTTAGCTTCCACGTAACCAATTCTAGAAGGTTTATCTAAGAAAGAGAGCCATAATTAACTTTAATAAACAAAAAGACAATGAGATAAAACATAAAACCCATGAATTTTCCAATCACATAATTTGTCGAGATAGTCGGCCTTCTCCAAAAGAAGCTTACCTGTGTAAATAAATCTGCTAGGCACGTCAAGAGATTTTCATCTGCATCAGCCGGACTTTTGTTATTTGAATAATATTCTAGCAACTGCTCGCGGAATGGAACACAGAAATAAAGAGCCTACATTAAATGGAGAATAAAATTAAAACGAATTTTGGAAAAAGAATAATAATAATAATAAATTATTATGTTCAGTATGAATGGTTTATTAACTGTGAAGACGAAACACACTAAAACAATATTTGGAACGAACTTCAAAAATCACAAAATGCCCAACTAATCACAGCTACTATCTAATACTGATGTGGTGTGCCGACATCTTATGATGTATATATCTCAATAGAGCGAGGATCATGAATTCATAATTTACGCACCTCCAACCAGGGTCATCATTACTAGAGAACAATTGATAAACCAAATCAATTATTTGTTAGACACACTAGCATAGGATAAACAAAGTGTGTTCAACCAAGCACTACAGACAACATATTTAATTGACTCAAGTATTGAATTAAGTTTTACACTTCAATTGAAATAAAGGGTGAATACTTTAATCTAAACCAAGTATAGAGCAAAGGATCCATGACATAGAGGCATGTCATGATCTGTCCAGTAATAAAAGATATGGAAGTAAAAGAGTTAAAGCATGAAAGAAATAAGATGTAAAGTACAGAGATATAACTTAATTTTTCCATTCCTAGTAAAGTAAAACTTAACTTCAATAAGGATGCTATCTTAGTTCAAAACTATGGAAGAAAGAAAGGCATACTTCGTAAATTCTAAATTTTGTCTCGTGCTTTTTTCATTTTTCTATTCCCCCCATTTATTCCTTCAAACGCTTAGGGTGCATTTGGTTTGCATTTCTATTTTCTGTTTTTAGTTTTGAATTCATTTTTTGTTTTCTATTTTGAGGGATTATTTTAACATTGCAGAAAGAGCATTTGGTTTGTAAAAACTGTTTCTCAAAATAAAAAACTAAAAAACACGTTTGATTTAAAAATTTTAGAATAGTTTTATGACATTTCTTTTTTTTTCATTTAATTTGATTATTTAGTAAAACACATCAATTTTATCCTAGTATGTGATCAAAAAAGCATAAATTTTAATGTTGGTAAAAAAAGGGAATCATTGTAAATATATCTCCAACAATTGCATCAAAATCATCCGTAAATAATAAATTGAGAGAGAGATGGGTATTTGTATTGGGGTAGGTTTTGTGTGATTTTATTAATATTTTAATTTGAGAAATTTTTAAGTTCATTTTCTTGTTTTGAGTTTTTTGAGTGTTTTCAATGAGAAGACTTAAAACGTTAAAAAGTCATTTCAAGCTTTATGTTGTAAAATTTTCTTCGTTTTCGAAAACACGTGTTTGAAAATAATATACCAAACACGCTTTCAGTGTTTTAGAAAATTAAAAATGGCCTCAAAACGGCAAACCAAAAGCACTCTTAGTTTGTCACATTTGCTTATATTATCCAGCTCCAAAAAGGAGCCAGAAAAGGGTAATCTTGACATTCCCTTAAAAAACCCCTCCCACCACAATCTCTTCATAAGGGCACTTTTGATCCAATTTAAACCAAAATCAATCTGCCATCTTTATTCTAGCAATACAAGTCAATTGTCAAAAGTTAAACCACTGGGAAAAACATAACCGTCACCATCATTTCTAGTTAACTATTTAGCACAAAGGAAAATGAAATACTGTATATATCGACATATTCACTCAGAAATTCATTACATCCTATTTAATAACCAAGAAAAAAAATTCCAATCAGGCACTCATAGATAAAAAGTAAAACTTGATTGCATCTCAAGAAAGTACAGTTGACAAACACTAAGACACTTTTTGGTTCAGCTACAAAAATAGATTAAAATCTAAGAGGTTGTTTGGTGGGGATTAAAATTAGATTTTGATAGAAGTTTTTAAAATGTATGGTTGAAAAGTTGTGGGACAAAGACGTGGATAATATTAATTGTTTAACTTTGACTTAGATGCCAAACAGGGGCAAAGTTAAAATCAATAATTAATTTTAACCATGTATATCATAGTAGGAATTGAACCTACGAATTCACCATTTATGAGTTGGGCGCTTTAACCATTCAGCCAGGTCCCATAGCTTTATACCCATCATTCTATCAACTTTTAATAAAATATACTAAAAATCTGATTTTAACCTAAATCAAAAAGAGGCTAAATTCAAACATTATTAAAGTCGCATATATAGACATAGGAACACGAATAACTACATATATTCACTGAGAAATTTATTTACTCCACTTCCATTAAGAAGCAAAAAAGTAAAGAAACCCAATCACAAATAAACAGTAAAATTGATTGAAATGAATCTCGCGAGAAAACGCTAATAGAAACACTAAATCCATAAATAATTACACTCATAATAGAAACATATAAACTCGAATAACTACAAAGAGATATAGGAATGATTGTAATGCAATGGGAAGAAACCTGAAGAACGCTGTTGCAATAGCAAGTGTTGCCGAAATTTTCGAGGCCAAAATATCGCTCGCCTTCAGGGAATTGGTCTCCGAGCGCCTTCTCCAGTTTCGACCCCGCTGCCCCCATACATGCAAAATTCTATAACCGTACTGTATTTATATATCGTAATTGAATTTTTTTTTTTCCCGGAATTATTAGGGTTGGATTAAGATAGATAGAATCGGACATGAAATTGGAGGATTGGTTTGGGGGAAATGCGATGAAGTAAGGGCTTTGGATGCGGACGTGGAAAATAGACATCAAAACAATATTTTTTAAAGCAGATTTTTATTTGAACTTTTAAGCATGTTTTGAATATATATATATATATATATATATATAAACCTCGTTTGGCTTCCATTTTGTATAAATGAAAATTGGTGCAATAGTTTTTTTGAAAAATGAGTGGTTAAAAAAGAAGGAAAATTTTTCAAATTACGTGTAATATTATTTTATAGAAAATTGTATGATTGAAAATAAGAGAGAAAAATGAAATAAAAATTAATGTGGCCAAACGAGGGCTATATAAATAATTTCCTAAACACCCATACTTAACTTATATTAAGCCCCCGTTTGATACCCATTTTTTTCAAAATGCATTTTTCTCTCTCTTCTTTTCAATCACACATTCTTTATTAAAATAATATTACACGTAAATCAAAAACTTTTTCTTATTTTTCAACCACACACTTTCTATCAAATTACTATCTAAAATGTATTTTTACATAAAAATATCTATCAAACATCTCCTAAGTATTGGTGATATGGCATATCATTTTAATTGGTGAATCGTTAAATACATGAGACATATCATTAATTTATACACACACGAAAATGATCCTCTCAAACAATGAATTTTTAAATAGTGTATTGATGGAAAATGTATGGTTAAAAAATAAAGAAAAATTTTGAATTTACATGTAATATTATTTTATTAAAAAATACGTGATTGAAATGATATCAAATCACTGTTTAAAAATGTGTTTTTTGAAAAGAATGGACTCAAACAAGGGCTATTCTGTATTACTTTTTATTTTATATGTGTAAAATATTTGTATTTTAGGGAAATGTTTGAGTTCCACTGTTTTTTTAAAAAAAAAATACATTTTGAAATAGTATTATAATAGAAAATGTGAGATTAAAAAATTTTTAAAAAAAAATTGGATTTATGTGTAATATTATTTTATAGAAAAATATGTTGTTGAAATGAAATGAAATTATTGTTGAAAAATATATTTTAATGAAAAAATGGGGCTCAAAGAAGGGCAAAGCATATTTTGATAGGTTTTTTTATTATTATCAAAAAATATTACTTTTCTAAAATGTGTATTTATAATTAATTTAAGTTAATTTTAGTAAATAAAATATTATTTACTTTGGAGTTGACTGACTAGTTGAGTAAGAATGTGAGAAAAGTATTTCAAATATACTAGTAATTTTGACCACAACTTAAAATACGATCTCATCATGTTATTTGAAAAGTGATCAAGATTGAAACTTATAAGTTACTTTTATTGCTTATAATAAATATAAAGAAAAAATTACCCATAGACTTCAAGATAAGGAATTATGTCACTCATGTGTACATAAAAGTAATACAAAAGTAAACTAGAGTGGTGACAAAAATAGAACTGATAATTAAAATTAAAATCAAAATCAATAATTTATTTTAATTACATATTTCATGATATCTACGGTTTTTTAACGACAAATTTCAACAACTTTTATCAAAAATTATTTAAAAAATTGATTATGTCTGAGAAAAATGTTTGTGAGGATAAGAAAGACTGTCATAAAAATTTGCCAATTCGTTCAACAATGAAAGTAGAGACGGATATAGGGGGGCTGGGCTGGGCTGTAGCCCCCCAGGGCCAAAAAATTTTTTTTAAGGTATTTTTTTTTTGGGTAAAAAATCAGTTTTTTATGTGTAAAAAAAAAATATTATTTTAATAAAGAATGTATGGTTAAAAATAAGAGAGAAAAATATATTTTTATAACGGGGCCATAATAAAGTGATTCCAAGTTTCATCTTAACTGTATAAAAAATAGAGAGTCTCGCTTCTTGTACAGAAGGAAAGCTTACAGTATACACACAATGGAGGGATGGGTAAGGTTTTTTTGATAATATTTTATTCATATGGGGTCCACTTCCATTTGAGTATCTTTAATGATTTTGTGAAGGGCCACTGTACAAATAGTAAATTCCTAAAAAAATAATGTAATTTGTCATGATTGATAACCATCTCAATTCTATTTGACAAAATGTAACATAAAGAACTAAATTGTTGGTAATTAGCACAAAATCTCTCTACCTTTCAATGTTATTATGTAAAATGTCACTACTTTTCATTTTTTGACATTTTCACCATTACGTTCCATCTTTCATTGAGCAAAAAGTTCTTTCCATCCATTTTTTACGATTTTACCCTAAACAAAAGAAAAGAAAAACAATGAACTAATCGCAACTAAAGTCCCAAATTTTCAAAAAATTACAAATGAGTTAAAAATATATTCTTAAAAAAAAAAAAAAAAAACTTTATTCTTAACCCGCCAAATTGGAGAACATTGAAAATTTGATAAATTTCAATAAATTATAGATGTGAATCTATGATTCTATATGAAAAAAACAATGATTTTCAAGAAACGGAAATCAACATTATTAAAAAAAAAAAAAAACACCCAAAAACCCAAAAACCAGGGGGGGAAATAGCGAATTTTGCTTATTTTTTCTTATTTTGAGTGAAATGAAAACAATTTATAGCTATGACAATGTCAAAAGCTTCTCTCTGAATGTCTTATTTAATGGCAACGCTGTTTATGATGACTTTCTTGTCGAAGGCGGTAGATCCAGTTGAGGACTTTCGGTCTTCTAAAGATGTTGGCAATGGTGCCACTAGTTGTGACATCCCAGACTTTAGTAAATTTATAATACATATTCATACATTGTATTGTAATGTATATTTCATGTAATATAGTAAAAAAAAAAATTATTATTAATATTATAAGCTTATAAAAAGAATTGAATTAAAATTTTGGTTAAAAACCATATGGAAAATTTAAGAAAAATGAGGTGGCTACTTTCAATAAATGACATTGCCACTCTAAATATGAAAATAACAAATGGTATAAGGTGGCTACTCTTAATAAATGACCTTGCCACTCTAAGCCCCCGTTTGTTTCCTATTATTTATCCATTAAAATGAAAAATATGACCATTATTCATCACATCAAACTATCATATTTGACTTTTTATCTCTTGTGTGAGGTTCGTAACGGCTATATTTTTCATTCTGCCAATAAATGACCTTGCCACTCTAAGCCCCCATTTGTTTCCCATTATTTATCCATTAAAATGAAAAATATGACCGTTATCCATCACATCAAACTATCATATTTGACTTTTTATCTCTTGTGTGAGGTTCGTAACGGTTATATTTTTCATTCTCATTTTTACATTAATGTGTACCAAACGGACCTTAAATATGAAAATGACAAATGTTATAAGGTGGCTACCCTACACATATCACTTTGCCACTCTAAATACTATAATGACAAATGGCGTAATAGGGGAAAAGGTGGCAAAAATAATGATTAAAGAAAAATAAATTAATTGTTAATTTAATTCTAAATTATTACTATAAATAGGGGAGAAGGAGAGAAATTGAAATACATAAAAAAAGAAAAAAAAAAAGTCAAGTAACTTTATGAAAATAGCACTTTAATTGTCTTGTAACTTGAAGGTCAGTAGTCTATACCTACTTTTATTTCAAACATATTTATTGCAATTATGTTTATTGGATTACTTCTTACTTTTCAAATCAATTATAGCTCCAAGATTCTACCCATTAACATTGACATTGCATTGGATATTGGCATTGCATTGGATAATAATTGATATTATTAATTTTACACCAAAGTGGTGTAATCAACTAATGAGCTCATATATTGTTATTTTCATATTGCGCGCACGGGTAGGATTGAACATCTATAATTGGGGCCCATTGTTTTCATTTCTTATTCAAATTAAAGAAAGATTATGGTATAGATTACTCGCTAAATAAATCTATTCACATTATTTTATTTTCTCGTAGACGATCACCATCGAATATATTGACTTTACCTTGGGTGAATGGATGAGTTCGGAAGATGGCTGATATTGTATGTATGTCAAAGAAATCCACACATGAATGACGTATTCAGACTTCTCGATTTCCATCACTTTGTGAGATTCCATTATTATGTTGACTACTTCGAGGCCACTACTATGACGTACTTATTTTCAAATGATTTTCCTGAAGAAATAATGTGTCCCGGTGGTCTTTGATATGTAGTATAAATATTAATACAAATCGGTTGATTATGATAGTAAGATATGGTACATAGTGCGACTTTTGCGTAGTGCAATTTTTGTGTAGTTAAAATTTTTGTATATCTACTAGTCTTTAATACACCTTTTGCAATGAAACCAAGTATATAAGAAAATTTTCAACTATCTTATATTTATTATTGCTTGCCTACTCATACTCTACAAATAACCAAAAATTTTCTCTCTTCACAAAGTATATAAAATTTTGAAATCTTTATACATAAAATTAAATGACTAAATTGGGTTTGTGACACTAGTTCTCCGCCGTTGCTTCTCTTTGATCTTCACTCATTTGCTTTAATTTAATTGATTTTTGGTTCCAAAATTTTAAATTTTGGGTTTATTGAGAACTTCCAGTGAAGAGAGAAAAGACAGGCGTCAGCAATGTACCCGTGTGTGGTCTTTCGAATTTGTAAGGCTTTATAATTTTATTTGAAATTCTGATGGCAAGCAACAATAAAGTTTTTTTTGTATATCTACTAGTCTTTAATATACCTTTTGCAATGAAACCAAGTATATAAGAAAATTTTCAACTATCTTATATTTATTATTGCTTGCCTACTCATACTCTACAAATAGCCAAAAATTTTCTCTCTTCACAAAGTATATAAAATTTTGAAATCTTTATACATAAAATTAAATGACTAAATTGGGTTTGTGACACTAGTTCTCCGCCGTTGCTTCTCTTTGATCTTCACTCATTTGCTTTAATTTAATTGATTTTTGGTTCCAAAATTTTAAATTTTGGGTTTATTGAGAACTTCCAGTGAAGAGAGAAAAGACAGGCGTCAGCAATGTACCCGTGTGTGGTCTTTCGAATTTGTAAGGCTTTATAATTTTATTTGAAATTCTGATGACAAGCAACAATAAAGTTTTTTTTTTTTTTAAAGAATATATTTTTAACTCATTTGTAATTTTTTGAAATTTTGGGACTTTGATTGCAATTAGTTCATTGTCTTTTCTTTTGTTTTGTTTTTGTTTTATTTAAATAGAAGTGCAACATAGTCAAAAATGGATAAAAATGACATTTTGAGCAATTAAAGTTGGAATGTAGGGATGAAAATGTCAAAAAATGAAATGTATGGACGTTTTGTACAATAAATTTAAAAGGTAGGGATGTTTGTGTCAATTACCAATTAAATTATATGTTTAATTAAATTAGATTATTGAACCTATCATTCATTGTCAACTAAATATGATGATAGTTATCAATAATTATAAATAACATGACTCAATACATAATCATTGAATTTCTGCTATTTTAAAACTGGAGTTCTTTCATAAATTCTCTCGATGCATTAGGGGAAGCGATTTTGGATATTTGATTTAATTGAAATGTCAAAAATGAAATGTATGGACGTTTTGTACAATAAATTTAAAAGGTAGGGATGTTTGTGTCAATTACCCATTAAATTATATGTTTAATTAAATTAGATTATTGAACCTATCATTCATTGTCAACTAAATATGATGATAGTTATCAATAATTATAAATAACATGACTCAATACATAATCATTAAATTTCTGCTATTTTAAAACTGGAGTTCTTTCATAAATTCTCTCGATGCATTAGGGGAAGCGATTTTGGATATTTGATTTAATTTTTTTAATAAATCAATATTCAATTTAAACTTATTACTTGTATGTAAATTTTTTAGGATAATTGGCATATAACGTCATTACCTTTTACCATTATTGTGAAAAACGTTTATATCTTTCATTTTTTGACATTTTCACCTTTATTTTCATATTTCATTACACAAAATGTTATTTTCATCAATTTTTTCAATTAGAAGCTATTAAATGACGAATATACCCTTGTATTTAAATAAAAGAAAAAGGAATTAATTGCAACCATATTCCCAAAGTTTTTAAAATGAGCAAACGACTTGAAATAAATTATTAAATGGGTAATTAGCATATAATATTCATACCTTTCACTATTATTGTGAAAAAACATCCATATCTTTCGTTTTTGGTATTTTCATCCTTAATTACACAAATTATCTTTTCTACAATTTCTCAATAAAAACTATAAAATGGTGAATATACACTCCTATTTAAATAAAAAATGAAACTTAGTTTTTTAATAATTAGTTGGGATTCATTTTTATTTTTTTATAAAATTAATTTCTAATTTTTTAATAATTTGTTTTTGGGATTTGTTTTTATTTTTAATACTTTATTTGAGACTCATTTGCACTTTTTAGAAAATTTTAGGATTACAATTGTAATTAGTTCTTTTTTTCTAATTTAAACAGGATGGTACATTCGTCATTTCACATATTCTTTTATTGAGAAATTGGATGAAAAATGGATAAAAATGATGGTTTGCATGATCGACGATGTAAGTAAGGGTAAAAATATCAAAAAAGAAAAACGTTGGCGTTTTTCATAATAATAGTGAAATGTATGACTTTATGTGCTAATTACCTTTTAATAATTTATTTTGAACTCATTTGTACTTTTTTAAAAATTTGGAATTATGATTGTAATTAGTTTTTAAATTTAAATAGAAGAGTATATTTATCATTTCATAGCTTTTAATTGGGAAAATGAATAAAAATGACCTTTACACAATGAAAGATAAAAATAAGAGTGAAAATGCTAAAAAATTAAAAGAAAATATTTTTCATAATAACAGTGGAAGGTGCTAATTATCCAAATTTTTACGCTCAGGGCCCACCCAAAGGTAAAGTGAGAATTGAGAAGAAGCACATTATCTACAAGAGGGCAAAAGGCGAGAGAGGAGAGTGAGTGGCAGATAGCATAATCAAGAAAAGAGATGACGAGTTTCTCTATAGCCTCGCCCTGTACCATCCCCTTCCCTTCAACATCGACCATTTCAAAACCCTTTTCTTCCTCCTTTAATGGCATTCGAATTGCGCATTACTGCCCACCCAGCGCCTTATCCACTCGGATTTCACACACTATTTCTTCTTCTTCTTCTACAGTGGTTATGATGGCGAAAAGGGAAGAGGAATTGAAAGAAATCAGAACCAAAACTACTGAACAGCTTAACGATGAGATTGTCGACCTCAAAGGAGAGCTCTTCATGCTCCGCCTTCAACGCTCCGCTCGTAACGAGTTCAAGTCGAGCGAGTTTCACCGAATGCGCAAAAGGGTAATATCTCCTTTACTTTTTAAGTGAATGTGATTTGAATTTTGCAAAATTTAGTTTTATGGCATGTTTGATATAGAAGATTAGATAGCGCTCTTCTGAATTGTGGAAGATTAGGTAGCACTCTTATGTCAGAAGCAAGAAAAAGAACTTAAAATCTTGCTGGATACAGAAGATTAGTCTCGTGTCTAATACTAGGTAACTTTTGTTTTGAATAGGAGGGAAGTAGACTTCAGATTTTAATTAGTTAAGTTGTGACAATGCTTGAATTTTGATGTTTTTCAGGTTTTCAATTGACTGTGAGGTTAAGAATTGGGAAGTGAAATGAAGAAAAAGATTGTGAAGCAGCATATATAAAAATCTGATTTTTTTCCTTGCTATTAATAATTATTAATGGCAAATTGAAAGTGTGATTGAGTAATTATACAAAAAATGAAGAAAGATTGAACACTTCGAAAAGATTTCAGCTATAATACCTAAAATGTTTAGATGGAGTCCTGGTGCTTTTGGCACTCTGTTCTTTCGGGGTTTTTTCCTCAGACTGGTATGAATCATATCCTGCTTTCTAGATAAGGTGCTTGATTTTCTCGGGTTTGTTGACATGCTTCTACATTTTGTTGCTCGTTTGATCTCATCTTGTTATAAGTACAAGTACAGAAGTTGACGGGTATAGGGTTCTTACTAAAACTTTATAGTAGCAAATTGTTCTTCAATCTTTCTTCTCAGAATTATGTTAAGCAGCTGCAATATTGTATATAGACTTGAAGACCACTTCACATTTTCGGTACTTTTTTATTGGTGAACTACTTCGTCTAAAAGCTTGAGTTGGTTATAGACCAGACAACTTCTTTGTTATTATCACGCATAGGCCGGATACCATTTCATCATCCGAAGTCTTAACACACTGGCATTTTTATGAATAGGTAGCAGCAAGACTCGAACTTAGAACCTTAATCGTATCGTGTTGAACCACCTCGTTGTTTATAAGTTATACTTTAAGAGGGGCGTATTTCTTATATTAAGTACATCAATTAACACCAATGTCTTTCCCTATGCAAGGACATGAGCTTGATGCACACCGGTACTGATATCAGCTTCAACAGAGAATTTCTTAATTCAAGATTTTATATGGAGTTTTTAGTTGTACTTAAAAGTGTTTAATGCACTGAAGATTCTTAAGGAGGGGTTTTTTTTTCTGTTGACTTCCCCTTTTTTTTTTTTTTTTTTTTTTTTTTTTTTTTTTCCTTTGGGAAA